GTCGACTTTGTAAGATCTATCGCAAAAAAACTCGATTTAAATTAGATTTTTGTGTGAGATGATTGATGGAGATGGTCGTAATGGTGATGGATAGGAGCAGTTAGTTACTTGGTAATTTCGGAACCAAATCTTGCCGTCAACGATCGAGAAACTGATGATATGGTCGACGAAAGGCTTAGCTTTTCGGGCCGTCTTGGGCACCGCAAATACCTAGGATTTTTAAAAACAGAATCTTTCAGTTCACACAGCCAATTAAACATTTTTTTTTTCTCTTTGTGTCCAAAAACAAAATGAATTATGGATGTACATTTGTTAGGACTTCCTTGCAGACCTTCCAGTGCGCTTCGTCCTCGAATTCTTTGCCAAACGTGACGATCGGCCGAGATCCTTTTAGACAATTGCCTAGAAGATGAAAGATCAGGATGAATTAAAAGTGGCTAAATTTTCGTCAAGTTCAGCAGATCAACCCGATTATTCACCTGTCATTTTCATTTCGTCCATCGTGTGAACGTTGACGACATGGAAGCGGATCGAAGGGCCATTAGGACATCGGGAGGCCCAGAGGTAGAGATCGGAGTGTCTTCGAGACTCGAAGTAGAGCGCATGGTTGCAGGAGTTGAGGTCGGCCAATTCGTTGATCGAAGGGAGGGCGTGCTTCGAGTCCAGTTTAGCATCTTGTCCAAAGAACCAAGCAAAAAAAGGAGGCTGACTCTTTTCAGTCGGGCCATATATTAGAGGAAAGGAAGAAAAAAAAAAAGAGTGAGAGTGGCTGACCTTTTTTGCCATGAGTGATCAGATTGGCAAGGTCGTTCATCAAGTGACGCATCCGATAAGTGATCCCTCTGGAGCACAGGATCAAGACTTTGGACTTGTAAGGCTTGGTGGAGGATGATGAGGTGGTCAGAGCCCCAGCGCCTCCTGGGACATCCTGCTCGGCTTCCTCCCGGTCGACGTTCTTTCGTTTCTTGCTTGTAGCAGTTGCTTGGGCGGATCGTGAGGCCATCGGGTGTAAGTAGTTCTTGAGGTGATGATGATTGAGGGTAAAAGTCGAGGGAAATGTGTGGGGACGAGGGGAAAAGTATTTTTGTCCCAGTGCAGATATGCTCGTATGCAATATCATCCATATGCAATATCATCCAGACCAGCCACCGACCACCCCACCCGCTCCATCCAAGGCTCAAGAAATCATGGCGGAGTGGTTCAAAGCTGTTGACAAACACACCATACATACCAAGAATGATAGCTTAAAGAGTTTCGTGACTTGATCAGAGTATCATCAATACAAAACAAGAATGACCATCTGTTTATACCCAAGCCAAAAAGGGCCTGTAGTTGCACCATATCAATGACCTGAAAACCCAATTATGTTGTACAGTGGGTGGACTGTTATTTTTGGCTGCTTGTTTTGGATTCTAGAGCTTCAAAGCACAAACTTGAAGTCACAAGAATTGGAGTGGTGTAGAATAGGTCCCAAAAAATGAATATGAAAAAATAAAAACAAAAAACAAAGTTTCAAAATTTGTGAAAATTAAAAAAGAAAATTGATTTTTTCCCAAAGCTTTATTATTCATTTTAGGGGAGTGGGAGTGC